GCGGAGCAATTGTCGGCGGAACATCTGTCGGCGGAGCAAATGTCGGCTGAGCAAGTGTCGTTCGAGGAGCATTTGTCACCGGAACATTTATCGGTTCATGCGGAGCAATTGGCGGCGGAGCAATTGTCGGCGGAGCAAATGTCGGCGGAGCAACTGTCGTTCGAGGAGCATTTGTCACCGGAGCGTTTATCGCTTCATGCGGAGCAATTGGCGGTGGAGCAATTTATGGCGGAGCAATTGTCGGCGGAACATCTGTCGGCGGAGCAGTTGTCGGCGGAGCAAATGTCGGCTGAGCAACTGTCGTTCGAGGAGCATTTGTCACCGGAGCATTTATCGCTTCATGCGGAGCAATTGTCGGCGGAGCAAATGTCGGCGGAGCAATTGTCGTTCGAGGAGCATTTGTCACCGGAGCGTTTATCGCTTCATGCGGAGCAATTGGCGGTGGAGCAATTGTCGGCGGAGCAATTGTCGGCGGAACATCTGTCGGCGGAGCAATTGTCGGCGGAGCAATTGTCGGCGGAGCAACTGTCGGTGGAGCAAGTGTCGGCGGAGCATTTGACGTCGGAGCAAATGTCGCGGAACAAATTTCGCGGAGCAATTGTCGCGTTTTGCGGAGTAAATGTCGGCGGAGCATGTGCCATGGAACCGCCAAATGTCAAAGCATTTAATTTAACCATTTTCAAGTTATCTTGCTAACAAAAAAGTGGGTCGAAATAAGAAAAATAAATAATGAATAATAAAGGCGATTTTAACAAAATTATAAGGATGTCTGTATTAAATACGGCCCACCTGAAAAAATACAGAACAAAAAAATAAAAGAAAAAATAAACAACTATTCAAGGTATGAGAAAAAATGATCAGAGCACAGGCGCAGGATGTATACAGGTCCTCAAATTATAGCACGGACCTGCATGAACGCGCAGTTCCTAAAAGCAAACACAACAGCTACGCAACATAGAGCCAGACCCCACGAATGAACATAATGTACAACCACTACATATTTACTTAAAAACGCATAATTAACAATACAATCAACTCATCTACAGAAGGAGCATGCCTCAGGTACAAAACAATAAAAACCATAAAGACCTATATCACTCCAGAACGTTATGACCAAGGCACAACCCCCTACAACATCTCAGAAATTGAAAACAAAAACCTTTCAAATTTTAATAATGAAATGAAGGTTTAAACTTCAAGAAATAATGGACTGGAAAGCATCTTCAAAAGAAAAACAAAGAACTTTGAACATTATACTGCGAATGTATAATGATAAATATAAATATCTGTCAAGTTTGTTGGAAGGTATGATCCTAAGTAAAAGACAAAAGCAATAATAGAGATAGATAACAAGTTATCACCCTTGAGTCTTACAATTTGAATCATCAAACTTCAAGAAACAATCTGTAGTTTTCCTGTATTCTGAACTCTATAGGCCAACTTGGCTGGATACAAGAAGAATGGTTTACGACCTTCGGATTTCAGTCGTTTGAAATCTTCCATCTTGTTCTTCCTCAATTGCTGTATCCGCTTACTAAAGTCCTCCGCTACAAACAGCTTCTTTCCTTTGTACTCTTTCTCTTTGAACTTCTTCATGCATGCAACCCGAACCTTTTCCCTCTGAAGAAATGACCCAAAACATACGTGTATCATTCTGGGCTTTGGTCGGACATTACCATTCTGCTTCTGCGATGGGGACGGGGGTACGGTCGGTAATGGAGCTGTGGGAGTGCGATGGCATCTCTCCATGGAGTATTCTGCAGCAGATAGCCCCACAAAGGTTTGAAGAACATCATTCATGTCATCAAGGCATACTTCTCGCTGACCAGACACAGCTACTTCAGGAATACCATGAAACACCAAATTCATCCTCCTGGAACGATTTTCAATGTCATCGAGAGAGAGAGAGACATTATCTTCCTTCAACTTTTTGACTTGTGACTTTAAGTCCTCAACATCAATCTCACACGCAGTGATTTTCTCACCATGTTCCTTCACAGTGGATGAAAGAACTTCAAGCCTTTTAGCATAGATGACATCTAAGCGCTGCTCGAGTCGGACTTCAAAACCCGAGAAGAATTTCGTGAACCAGACAGGGGGGCCGACTCTGCGGCGTTCATCACAAGCGAGTCGTCTCGCACCCTGTGTGGGGGGTCACCGTGCACGTGTTGAATTTCACTGCTCACCGTTTCAGGCTTCTTTTGTTGAGACTTCGCCGATATCTCAGGAGAAAGGAGGTGCTTTTCAGCCATGATTTTAAGTCCAAAATCATCTATAACCTTCAATTATACTGTTGATTAAGTGTTTATATCAAACTGCGGAATATAACATCGTAGAATTTGGCCACAAAAGCGGAGCTCAAAACAAGAGCAACATGCTGCTATGCCTGCTATGGAACGCCCCCCTCCGTCAACCAAACTTCGCTTGCGATGTTTTCTTTAACGTTAAAACGTTATCCCCTGCACATCACATTGATAGGTTCTATAGGAGACAATCTAAACAATTTTCTTGTAGCCACTTGTTAAGAACATTCATCAATCTGATGATGATAATTTAGGCAAAAAGAATATCATTTGGTTGTCCTCGATTGCTTTTCTGGAGTAGGGGTGGGCGGGCAGATTTGTTTTCTTTTCTTTTAATTTAATTTTTTGGGGGGTCTTTTTTCTTTCTTCTGCCCCCCCCCCCCTTCCCCCCCCCCCCCCCCCCCCCCCCATTTTTTTGATTTTTTGTTTTTGTTTAAATAAATATTTTTCCATAAAAAACAAAAAATCATTGGGATGTCAAGCACTTAAACAAACGAAGTCATTGAAATACTTTAACACAGAAGGTATTTTTGGCTTTGAAAAACAGCACCTTTTAATTCCCCACTGTACTACTTTTAGCTACTTCCGCCCTCTATATAGCAAACAATGCCTAATCGGTGACCATTGGTCCCCCATGATCCTCTTTATTTTATGTTAACTGAGAGCTGATTTGATGAGATAACCACCTGTTCAGTGACCTTGCAGGGTGCTCTAATCCCTCCTGTAAACTAGTACAGATGGGCATTAAATGAGTTAAAGAATGCTCAGAACCTGATTTTAATGAACGGGATTTTGACATAGAAAAACAAATGGCAAGTTTAATACAGAAGTGCGTACTGAAAAGACCAAACTGGCAATGGGACGGATTTCGATTCTTGCAAAATGCATAAAATGGTATGTTTGGGCGATTGAGATTGCTCCCCGAAAAAAGGGGGATTTTTTTTAAAATTGAATTAAAAAAAAAAAACAACAACAACAACGAGCGGCCCGACAATGACGAGCGGGCGGTCGAGGACAACCAAATGATTTTTTTTTTGTTTGGCCTTTACATTGACTGCTTCTTGTAGCGCCTTATTGTGTAGCGTCTGTAGCGCCAATGTTGGGCGCTAATAGCGCTCGCTCTAAAATGTCTCACAAAATTATAATGTCGTTCATTATTTTTTTCCCTCTCTCTCTCCATAGAAACATTGTGAATGTCAAACTGGCAAATCTCGAGCCAGATACCTTCAAAGGGATTACATCTCTCAAATTATTGTAAGTTACGACTTCTTCATTAAATAAATTGACATATATAACTGTGTCTGACGTTTCTACTAACCTCTGGTTAGTCAACAAACTTTTAAGACATTTATTTTGAGAAAAAATTTGTCTAGTTTAAGAAGTTTTGTTTGTCTTAGCCGTACTCTATACACGTTAAGCACTTCGTCTTAGCTAAGACGACAGATAAGACAAAATTCTATTGTGATGACGTCATTTTGTAAAGTCAAATTGGTCGAGTCGAGCGATTCAACTGCAGCTCATTTGGCCTATGCAATTTGTTTGTTAGAAATTTAAAAAAAGTGCACAGGACGAAAATTATACACGCACGTATGATGAGGGGGTGTCCGGACAATTACACTTCTCTTTTGCCTTTCAGTGTAATGAAAAATCTATATCAAATAGTATCAACCGGCATGAACATTTTTCCTTTATAATACTGTCCAACAAAAGTCACTGAATATTTATGGAATATTGCTTGTAAACTTCTTCAAATTGCTGTTTTTAAATCAACTGTCCGGATACACAACCTGTACGGACACACAACTGACAGCAATGATGTTCACAAAATTGTTTTGGGATTTGCCGACTGATACTAAAGCAGGCTAGGCAAGACTTCCCGATCTAACAAGTTCTATTCAACATCTACCTCAGGCATTTTCTATTTTTCTGTCAAACAACTTTAAAAATCCCCCAGAGCACCGTCTTTATGCCGCGGCTAGCCTGGGGTCTTTGACATTAGCCGTCGCTAGCCGGTTAGCGCTACCATGGCTGATACCGTTTACATGCAGTTACTGCTAGCCTAGTCCTATACCTTATCAAACAGTTACATTTAACAAACAAATGTTGCCTCATCTCACATCATACCGACGACACATCATTCCCCGTCTCTATACTTTAATCCAAGGATCATGAGATAATGCATCGTTTACAAGTAATGCTTTGGCTACGCCTATGGTATTCATACATGTTGGTGGATCTTTTACCTTTTACATACAAATAGCAAAATACCATATTCATACAATATACAGTGCGTCCCGGAAAAAACGAAATCGAGAATTATCGATGTTTTATCATAACTTGATAATTTGATGCAACTCATATGATGCATATTTCACACATGAGTGATTAAAAACAGTTTGAAGAGAGGAAACATAAAAGTCATTTGGCCGACGGTATCTGAATTTCAAAGAGAAAATCACATTCTAGATTCTAAAAAAGTTCAATTTCTGCCCTTTCATATGACACCTCAATAAGGAAAATTGAGCCAGGAATAACAAAGTTCTGTTTGTTTAAAGTTGTGCTTGCATTTCCATAATTTAATTAAAAGAGGTTCTTTTTCACTGCACTGTTAAAAAGTTGGGCAGATGTTACTGGGTAAATCGAAGTTGGGCAAATTTTGTCCGATAATTGGGTTATTTTCTCCCAACCATTTACTATATGAAGTTACCTCATGAAAGGTAAAAAATAGGTTGGGTAGGTGTCACTTGGCAAATCGATGTTGGGCAAATGTCGTCCAACAATTGGGTTGTTTCCTACCAACCATGTAGTACCGATGAAATAATTGGGTAATGTTATTGGGCAAATTAGGATTGGGCCAAGTTTGTCCAACAATTGGGTTATTTCCTACCAACCATGTAGTAACCGATGAAATAATTGGGTAATATTATTGGGCAAATTAGATTTGGGCCATTTTTGTCCAACATTTAGGTTATTTTCTCCCAACCATTTACTACATGTATTTACCCAATTACATGTTCATTATAAGTTGGGCAGATGTAACTGGGCAAATGTAAGTCGGGCAACATTATTATGCAACAATAGGGTTATATATATTAGAGGTGTCGTGGTCGAGTGGATAACTATTTTATCCAACTTATTTGCCCAACTAGTGTCTAATATATGCTACACGTTATGGTGAGAATTGGGTACAATTTTGTTGGTCAAAAGTTGGGTATTTTCTTTTCATCCAACACTAGGTAAATCATGGAAAATCTTTAATTTACCCAATAGTTGGTTGGACACTTAATCGCCCTCATGTTCGGTAAAAATTGGGCAATTTTTTGCTCAATATTTTTAGAGTGTGGGTGACTGCCGTAGCAACAAACAGAGTTAATAAAAGGCTTAACTCCGTTTCGTTGACGATCAGCCATGCCTCAAGTCTGTCGTCTTTTTTGTGCATGGCTGATCGTCAACGAAACGGAGTTAAGTCGGTTTGGAGTCGGTCTTGGATCGGGTTGATGGTGTGACGAAGGTATGAGTTTAAGACTAGTTCAGTAATTAGAGACCAGATAACTTTTGCTTCATAAAGGATTCTGCATTTTCTTTTCAAAGAATACTTACTCAATTCCCATTCATGATGTATTAAGTGATTGTGCTATTGTCATAGTTAGTAAAGCTGGACTCAGTCTAATTAGAAGAAAAAAAATTGACGGAAACTTTGATTCTTTACGTATACTATTATACACTAGCCCTTTGTTTATTGCAAATATTTATGTACATCTTTCAGGTCGACCTATGACTACAGGCTTTGCTGTTTGTTCGACGAGACGGATCTGTGCAACATTGCTTCCTCGAACTTCCTGGACAACTGCTCCCGTCTCATGCCAAACACAATCTTAAGGATAGCCATGTGGGTCATAGGGTGGGGCGCCCTCATCGGCAATACCATAGTTCTTGTCTTGCGGTGTCGTCCCGATCATTCAGTCAGCGCAAAGACTCAGGGACTGTTCATCTTCAACCTGGCCATAGCAGATTTTCTGATGGGAGTCTACATGATCATAATAGCGTCAGCAGATGTGTACCACGGAGAGTATTACTACCTCTTCGCAAAGCAATGGCGCGGATCGGTCACTTGCAAAGTCGCAGGATTCATCGCTGTTCTCTCCAGCGAAACGTCCGTCTTCATACTTGCAATCATTACGATAGATCGAGTCCTTAACGTCGTGTCCCCCTTCGGTAAACTGAAGTTTCGGGCTACTTCTGCTCGCGTTGGGGTAGCGCTGATATGGATCATTGCTGTTGTAGTGAGCGTTGTTCCTTTGATTGTTAGCTCCTACATCAGCGGTTTTTATGGCATGTCAGATGTTTGCGTTGGACTCCCACTCAATATCGAGTCAAGAGAGACTGGAGAAATAGTATTTAACGACGAGTTAGGGTTATTTGAGAAACTCCAATATGAAACAACAAAGCGACCAAGTTGGGTGTACTCAATCGCCCTCTTTCTAGGTGTGAATTTCTTGATCTTCATCCTCATTCTGCTCTCCTATGTCGTCATATTCGTTCAAGTTCGCAAGTCGGCACGCAGTGTGGCCAATCCAGTAAGTGCTTCGGGTAGTATTGACCGCGCCCGGGAAGTGAAGATGACAACACGCATGGCTATCATTGTCCTGACGGATTTCTTTTGCTGGATGCCGGTGATCATCATGGGTATCCTTTCGCAAACAGGTGCTGTCACCCTCCCGGTATCCCTCTACGCCTGGAGCGTTGTCTTTATCTTGCCTATCAACGCATCCATCAATCCATATCTCTATACCTTCATCGCAATATGTGATGGTTCAAAGAAGAGATCTACCTAAAAACCCTTCTTCAAAGACCCGCTTCACGCCCGCGGTGCCTGATACATGGCATTCTGTAGGATTATACTTAATCTGGTGGTTCAAGGACGAAATCTACCTTAAATTCTGCTTTAAAGACCCGTTAAACATGACCACTATATCTGGTACACGAGCGTGCTGTAGGATTATACTTATTTTAATCTGGTGGTTCAAAGATGAAATCTACCTTAAATTCTGCTTTTAAGACCCTATATAAAATGACCACGAAGTCTGGTACACGAGCATGCTGTAAGAGATGTACTTCTTATAACAAAATAAATGGTCAATGGACCGGGGAAAAAATAGATGGTTATTGGTTTACAGTATTCCTCAAGTAGTATCTGACTGACACCCGTCAAACCGTCAGTTAAAAAGGAGAACAGTTACTCAATGGCGCATTTAGCAGATAAATAAATACAAATTTGTATTTAGATTGTTCAAGTCGTTCGGGTATAACCTTCCTTCATATTAGCATGGTGACACGATTATTTGACTCATTTGTGAGACCAATACTTCTAGATGGATCAGAGATTCGGGGCGATTTTACTATTCACTTTGAAAAGTTATCGAAAGTTGTAAAGGGGAACTCCAAAATATATTTTAGAGAGTGATAACTTCCGCCAAACTCTGATGCCAACACATCTGATGCCAACATTCATACCCGGGTAACCCCCTCTACCACGCTCTGAGGATAACGGTACACCTGGGAAACTCCCTCCGCCACGCTCGGATGGCCAGACATCCGGGTAACCAATCCCGTCACGCTCGAATGAACTCTTCGGTCCTCATGACCGCGAGCGTAGACGCCAGGAAGCACGAGCCCAGCCCAGGGCACAACCAACAAATGGTCATCCAATGAGTGGCCGAGAGAATGCAGACAAACACAACCAGAAACATGAACCAAATAAAGTTAAGAAGAACGTTTTACTCTTTCGGAACTCTCAAATAAACCAAATCGAGGGTGTGAAATTCTCGAGTCAAGTGCATCTCCGTAAGATACTCAAATACACAGTTGACGATGTAGGAGAGTGGCTTTGGTCGGGGGATACCGTAGTCTTGAAAACATTGACAACATTGATGCCGTGATAATTTATGAAATCACTAATGGTGTTAGAAATGCCTTGGCGACACATTGTATTAAGAGAAATGATTCAACTGGTAGATAACATTGCGTTTCACTTCAAGGATGCACAAATAGTGGTGTCACTAGGAACACCGAGAGGTGACAATGATCTCTTCAATTAACGGGTTAGTGTTGTGAATACGATCCTTAGAAACGATTAAAAGTAGCCTTTGTGAAGAAAGTGAGAGTACTGCATCACAAAGACCTATTGCAATAAGGCGTAATAAACGAAAGCTTGTACAAGTATGATCGTTTTAACCTATACGGAAAGGGAACAAAGGTGTTAGCCGCAAACCTCAGGCATGCTATCGAAAAGGATTACCAATCAAAACGTAATGACCGCAAGAATAGGTACTGACGTATCCTATTATTGTTTATGATATATTTTATATTATAGTCTTTATAAATCGTGTTTAAAAATAATAAACTTTTGAACAAAAATGTAGATATCTGCTACTGGAATATAAATGATGCATACTGATTTATTATACATATTTTTCATCTTTATTTAATGGTTGGATTTAATATGATTTGTCTGTTTTTCAATTATAGAAGTTGAAACTGAGTTTGGCTTTCTTTAACAAGTGTTTGTATAATAACACATAAACTGGAAAAATGATAAGTTGTAATAATTTGATGCCTATTAGTGCAATATTGGTTTATCAAATACTGGTTTTAAGAATTCGGAATAAGTTATCAAGGATTTTGTTGTTATTTTTTGGATATTTAGAAAACTTTTATGATGCGTGATTTTCTGTATATGATAAGTTACTGTACGTGTAAAACAATGGTGCTTCTATGCTCTTTTAGATAATTGTGTGTTGGAACTCAATATGTACATAGAAGTCAAATTAGAAAGAAAAAAAATGCAATATATCTTTAAATTAGGAAAAACTATTGTTGTAATAATTTGCTACCTATTAGTGGAATATTCTTTATTTATTAAATACTGGTTTTAAGAATTTGGATGAAGTATTTAAAAATTTGATTGAATATTCGGAAAACTTTTGATTAGTTTTTGATTAGTTTTGATTACCTTTGATGAATAGATGAAGTAGAAAATGGCTATTCTCTACCTTCTACCACCTCCTCCTCTCCTCCTTCTCTCCTTCTTCTCCTCTCTCTCTTTCTCTCTATCTCTCTCTCTCTCTCTCTTTATCTCTCTCTCTTTTTCTCTCTCTCTCTCTCTCACCCTCTTGCGTTCTCCTCTTCAATAATTCTTTCTCTGATTAGGATCTCTATGATTGATTAATCTATTTCCTTTCTCACCACTCTTCTGAACACTAGTCGATTTCTCTCAGTCTGATTATAACCATCCCTCCCTACAACATCACTAACACTCCCCTCTCACACTCTTTTACCTCTCTCCCTCTCTCTCTCTCTCTCTCTCACCCTCTTGCGTTCTCCTCTTCAATAATTCTTTCTCTGATTAGGATCTCTATGATTGATTAATCTATTTCCTTTCTCACCACTCTTCTGAACACTAGTCGATTTCTCTCAGTCTGATTATAACCATCCCTCCCTACAACATCACTAACACTCCCCTCTCACACTCTTTTACCTCTCTCCCTCTCTCTCTCTCTCTCTCTCACCCTCTTGCGTTCTCCTCTTCAATAATTCTTTCTCTGATTAGGATCTCTATGATTAATTAATCTATTTCCTTTCTCACCACTCTTCTGAACACTAGTCGATTCCTCTCAGTCTGATTATAACCATCCCTCCCTACCACATCTCTAACTCTCCTCTCTCACTCTCTCTTACCTCTCTCTCTCTCTCTCTTTCTCTCTCTCACCCTCTTGCATTCTCCTCTTCAATATTTCTTTCTCTGATTAGGATCTCTATGATTGATTAATCTATTTCCTTACTTACCACTCTTCTGAGAGGGGTGAATAATAATGAATAAGTAATGAATAATAACGAATAATAACGAATATTTCACTCTCTTTTCTTCTTCTCTTGACCTGATTACAATACAACCAGATTAATATCTGTAACCTGAAATTATAATATGAAATATGGAAAGATCAGTATGTAAATAATTATAACAATAAGTATATCTTGATTAAAGTTTAAAGTACTCCATCCACACCTTTTTTCCCTTCCTTTTAATAAAACTCGTGAATCATATTTGTCCTTACTGTTAAAAACATACACAAATACTCCGTCAACTACAGACGAGCTATCGTATGAAAATATTTCTGGAAATAGTTTAAGAAAACTAAGTAATTATGTTTCTTATATAAGCTAATATTAATCATATAACATGTAAAGTATCTATTTGTATATAACTTTTTAAATAAATGCATTGTATTGTGAAATATGTTGTTTAGAAATGAAATGTGATGTTACTTTAAATCTGATTGTAAATTGTCATGTAATTCAGATGAGGGTGTGATATGATAATGAAACAAATTGAACTGAAAAAACATTATATACGAAATAAAAGTAAGTCAAGAAGATAACAGTATGAAAATAGATGTTTTTACAGTAAATGTAATCCACAGAAAACGTAGTGAGAGAGCAAGACAAGACTCTGGTGGTTTAGCAATTTATGTCAGAAATGAAATAAAGGAAAGTGTCACCTGCTACATCTAGTCAATATGCATGGGTAAAACTTGAGAAAAATGCGTTTAATATGTTTATCTGTTTTCTTTATATTAATCTAGAAAATTCAAGTTATACATCTTATATTGATGTTATTGAACAAATACAATTTGACATAGCTTAAAAAATGAGATTAGGGAAATGTTTATTAATGCGAAATATCAATGGGTATACAAATACTACATCAGATCAGACTAATGTGATTTGCAACGATAATTCGGATATATCTATTCAAGATTTTCGAGAAAATTATTCAAATCTAGATATCAGGCCTCTAAATAATAGAGGAAAGGATATATTAGAACTTTGTAAAATGTGTGACTTTTGCATTTCAAATAGTCGTAAAATTGGAGATATCATAGGTAACTTTACAATGTTATGGTACATACGGTTTAACAGCAAGTGTTATTGATTACGCAATAGCTGACAGTGAAGTATATGATCAAATTACTTTTGTGCATGTATTAACTCCTAATATATACTCAGATCATATTGCCCTATGAGGAAAAGATAAAGACAGTGCACTGTCGTGATGATGGATGTATTGACAGGGAGGGAATAGCATTGAGATTACCGAATGCCGCCTTTAGATGACAAGGGCTTGTTAGTAATAATTATAGTAACAGTTTAAAATGACACTAAATCAGCCTCAAAATAAGGACAAGATAAAGGTTCTTTTGGATTAGGATTATACACTTGATGACAGTTGAATTGATTGTGCGGTAGAGGATATTAGCGAGTTCATTTTACACATGGCTGAGTCAGCTAGAATACCCAAGAAATGTTATAAGAAAAACTTTGACATCTGGAAGAAAGAAATAAAATAGAATGCACTATGATAGAGAGACTGAGGCAATAGGGAGAAGAGTTAAAAAACTATGCCGAGCGGTTTGCAGGAAGCAATCCGATAGGAATGTAAGAAAGATGAATTGCAGATGTAGACAGTTATTGAAGAAAAAATAAAGAAAAATGTAAAGATAATGAGGAACAAATTATGGGAAAGTTAGAAAATTTGCAAAGTGCAAATTCACGTGACTGGTGGAATATAATTGATGAATTTAATGGACCACGTTATGGAAAAGGGACACATTTCTGAAAGAATACCTCCAATAGAATGTCATGATTGTTATCATAAATTAATGAATATCGGAAACTTTTTGAACAATAATGCTTTTTTTTTACATCCTTTACATGATGAAATACTAAAAAAGATTTAAAGTTGGATTTTTCTATTACCTCTTCAGTTCAAAATATTTAA